TAAACATAAACAATTACAATATATATTTTTGAAAGCATTCTTACTTTACAGCATTCTTTCACACCTGCCTAAAACTTTTGCACAGTACTGTATGTCTTAAAATCCCTACCACTTTATCATAACCACAGCATCTTCAAGAACAGCCAATGTGTTCATCAAAAGTCATCCCTACTGTAGGAAGAGACCCAGGCAAGTTCCTGAGCACACGTCTTTATTTTTCTACAACAAAATAGACTGTTGTAGAATAATCTCATCTTCCCCCTCCCTCCTCCCCAACAATGTTCCTGCCAGCTGTATGCACAAATGCAGAGACACACCTGTTACTGTTATTCTGTATTTGAGAAAACAGGCAAGGCTTCAAAGGCTATGTCTCACTAAGCTATACACTTTTAAAAACCCTGATTAATAGTCCTACATTAGGTTTTCTCTTCCTCCCCACACATTGCTTTAGGCACAGATTCCATGGCAATCCATCACACTCACTGCTTCTTGGCCTTGCATCCGGACTCTGAACAGCTTCACAGGGCGGGATCCAAGGTACCTGGTTCTTGTATCAGACAGATCACCAGTGACAGGATCAAGGACAGTTCGGAGTAGCACACCATTCTTGATTGTGAAAGCAGAGGACCAAGAGGAGAGAGGACCAAGTTCACTCCAGGTTCTAAACAGATCTTGATTCTAACATATTTATCATTTCTGGCCTCTCTGACTTGAGAAAGGTTAGACATAGCACTGCTACTATAAAAGTATACAAACTTTTCTAAATTTTCCAAATTAAGAAAGGAGGCATGAAACACTTTTTAAAATACAGCCAACAACAGCAAAATCTTTGCAGTGGAGCAGTGGAGCTCACTTCCATCACAGAAAGTCCTGACCCACAGAAAGGTGGGACCCAGGAAGCAGCAGCATTCTCCATTCTGGCTGAAGCTGCCTTTCATGACAGAACATTTCATTTGGGGAGTTCAAGGGGGTGTAGGCTGCTTCCCCTCCCCAGGAATTCTGGGCTTCAAACAAAGGACTCTCACTCTTTCTCTCCCTCCCAGGCAAATGAAATGGGGGGGGGGGAGAAAGCCAGAGCCCCAGGATCATACCCACCCAGAACAAGGCTGACTAACGCAGAGCGCTGGTCACTTAGTGGTTGCGCTGGGCAGGTTTGGAAAGCAGGCTTAAAGTGAAGGCCACTTGTCAATGTTCAGTCAGCAAAACCTTCTTACAGGCTGCTCAGGTCCTGGATGATGACATGCAGGTTTCACAGGAAGCTTCCTG